CCCATGGTTTAAGGTTACATATGCTACCAACTAATAACCAAATAACTGTACAGTCTAATTGCGAAGCATAAAAGTGTCAGTATATCTTAATATCTAGTAGTGTTCTCAGGTGCACTGATAACCTTACAGGCAATATTAGTAACCACAATAAGTAAAGGAATTGCAGAAAATATTATGACAGTTGGAATGAGTTCCCTACCTGACTGAATTGGAGGAAGCGACTTGAGACAAAAGTAGCAGTGAAATAAAACAGAACTTTATTAATAAAACAAAAGACGAACAGGTTCAGTATAATAGGTTCATTTACACAGATCCACTGACAATGGTTCTCTCTGGAGTCAGGAGAGAGATCTTTACCCTCATAAATCTAAAGGAAATCTTACTCAGACTGAGAGAGACCACTGTATATAAAACACAAAAAGTGCAACCCTACCCACGTCAATTCTAGTCATCATTTAAGTAGAAATAGGACGGATATAAACTTCAGGTAACAAACACTTAATCTCTACACAACCGTCCTACCTATAGAGACCATACAGTAGGTAAAATTACGTGGTTTTACAATGACATCTTTCATGGAAGAATCTTGTGACATTAAAGAAGAATGATTCAGGCCAATGTGTAATGAGGACAACAGCAAATTAGCCACATTATAGAAGTAATCTTACTCTACTGTTAAACGGAAATGCGTGCCTGCACGCGCTAATGTGTGAAAGATTTCAAACCTATAATGTTCACTTTTATAAACTAAAAGGAAGATAAGTAGCTGTTATGTTTCCCATACCACAGACTAATCATCAAAATAAGCTATCTTTGAAGTTATTCAATACTAGTACAAAAGCCCGTAAAAAATGACGGGAAACCAAAGCATACCAAAGTTGAATCCTCCAATATGTATTTGCAACTTTGCCACATGTAAACAGACATGAGAAAAATATTGGACCTTCTAGCTTCGGGAAACCAAAGCCTATCATGAGTAATATCTACTTTACCTAAAGAGTGTTCTTCCCACCATAGATCCTTGTCCCAGCATTCATTGATCACAGTTATTTTATTATCACATCAACTGTATTGTTACAATAGTTCTCTTAAAACCACAATTCTTGTAAATACTCGATCATCGTTCAAAACTTGTTTTCATAACAAACAGCAAATTAATTGTACTCAGTGCTAAATACATCCTTGAGATAGAAACTCTCTCCTTGACAGACTTTTATATAGCAGAAAAAGTGCCGAAATTTATGAGCTATTTACACCTATGTTAGCGATTGAATTCAACTAAAATGGGAACGGGCAATGAAAAGAGGAAGTATTATTGGAGATAAAGTGGAAATGGACTCGTGTAACTCACGAAATTCGGAGAAATCGAGCGTGACCGAACGACACTTGGCTTTTATGATTATGATTATTTAGCATTATTTTTTCTGTAAATGATATAAATATATATTGGAACACATAACGAACAGTTGAAATGACCGAAGGCTAAGGGAATATTTAATTTACCTACAATATAATACTTTGTATAGCTTTTAGCAAACGTATGTTTGTATTTTTTTCCCTGAGAGATTTTCTGAGCAAAACGTTGTTACCAGTTGTATAGTTTCACGATGTATGATTTACTTGAAAAAAAAAGCACATGGTGTGTGGCTTTAACGACACCTTTGTATTTGCTTACAAGTCTGAGTGTAACATTGTACGTCTTTTTTCCACTACAACTTGCAAATATATACTAATTTGAAGCAGGAAGTATCTGAGATGGAAGAAGAAAGTGAAACTAAAATTTAAGGGTTTGGGCTGATTGTTTAAAAGTATTGTGGTTATGATCAGGGGGGAAATATTCCATTGTAAGTACCATTAACAATTTAATATTACTAAACCTGCTTGGTATCTTATAAAAAGTGATTAAGAAATCTTAACAGTTGTTTAGCTTTGTTTGACAACAAATAAAATATCATTATTAAAAACATTCTGATGATAGCATCTCCAAAACTGTACTGAGTTCTCTATCAGACAAATAAGTACTTGATCATGGTATATGACATAAAATTTTCTGAAATATGACGTAGTAAAAATAATATAATTAATACGTTAATCACTAGTAAACTATAGCATCCTAACTTCGTCATAACATTATTGGCTCGTGCATTATCTGACTTTCAAAATTCCTAATTTAACGGAAGTTGTCATCACGTGACCTAACTGTACGTTTCCATATCTTTAATACACAATCACGTACATGTATGTATTTCAAAGTAATGTAAGTGTAACGTCCAAGAAAAATTATCATGGTAGAACAAAAAATCTTGAAAAGAAAAGTGACCGTCTGATGAAATACACTGACTGTCACCTATAACAAAACAAAAAAAAAAAGTACGCATATTTGTGTTTTCTTAATTCTTACACACATTTCAAGTAACTTCCATTTGTCGTTTGTAACTAACATTTCCAAGAAGAATCCTATGGTATATATAATATTTGATATAGCGAGTAGTTATTCTCGTATCCAAGTAATCTCGGTGACCTTTCCATGTAAACAAGAGTAAGTAAATTTTCCCAGCAGACAGACTTTGGCCATATCGTATTTCTTACAACAAGAGACATCTACTGTTGGATATTTCATGTTCCTCTGAAACTGTACGAATTATATTTATGAGATACAACTAAGGTAGATTTTAGGCTTAAAACAATTACTTATAAAAGTTAAATTAACACACTAATTAAAGTTTTACCATTCAGCCGTGAGTATATTCTGAGAAAACCCGGGATAAAGTTTACAGAAAATACGTCCTATTTACTCAGAGAAAAACATTACAATTCATGTTGTCCTTATTACACATGGAGACCAGAGAGAGACTTTTAAGCTGGCACAGACTGTCGCAGTCACCATTGAAACGATGCGTTGTGATCGTTAGCGTATGTACCTATTTAGCAGTTGTATTTGTATTCTCCGTTACTGTCACTGGGTGAGTAGTTTTCTGTGATAACAGTTATTATCATTATTAAGCTTCTGAATACATTTTCACATATCTATCGTACAAGTTCTTGACTGATAATCAATATGATAAGAGTTATTGAAGTGTGAATATATATTGCATGTTATTGGTATATATTTCTCGATCTCTGTGCTCCAGAAAAGTCTGTTTTGTGTAGCTTTAGGTCAGTGTCCAGTTTCTGACTTTTGTGTAGCTTTGTTCTAAATAACAACAAATTCTGACTTTTTATTTTTAATGTAGTTTTATGAAATATGCACAAACTGATTCGTTAAGTTTCTGTGATGACTTTTCTAAGAGTTCTAGTCACGCTAATCGCTATGAAAAACACGTTCTTGGTATGTAATAGACAACTTCAGATTTCCTTCACTAGTTGTTTGAATATTTTCCTTTATAGAGTTGTATGGAAATTAATATACAAACATTAAACAAACGAGTAAAATTTCGAATACTGGATGAGATGAACGGCTGTGTCAACGTGTTACTTATTTTTGTAACTACGACATAGTAATCTTATTATTAATTTCCTAAAAACTACTTTCCTCCTCCTCATTACTTTATGGTTGGGCGCGGTTTACTGGATCGTGTGCTGGGCTATGAGTGCGACAGTCTATGGTTCGCGTCCGTTTGCCGTAAAGTAACTCCAGTACTTTTGGGGCAGTGGATGCTTTACAAACGTGACGGTCTAATGCCAATATTTGATTGATTAGTGTAGCCCAAGTGTTGGCGGCGGGTGCTGTTGACTAGTTGCCTTCCCTCTAATCCATCAGTTCATAATTAGGGACGGCTAGCGCAGATTGCCTTTACTTAGCTTTGCGAGAATATTATAAACAAACTAACTATTGAGGGTTGCAGAGGATTTTTAAATTTGATGAAATGTTTTTGTTCTAATTCCCTGAAAGTTTGTTTATATGTGACTGCCTGTTGCTGCAACATAATCTGGATTACGTAATAAGAACTAACATGGTCGTAATCTGCTATGAGGACACCGATGTTTCCTTTTTTTTTCATTTACTCACTCACCCAGTCTCTCTCTCACATATATATAATTAAAAGTTGTAGCTTGAGACCTAAGTTTGACCTCGGTAGAATACTGGATTTGGTTACGGAGCCGAGAACTAATGTTCTAACACTTGATTATCAAATTACAAAAATGTTTCTCATTCGACCCGAATAGCCCCCCAATGGCACAGCGGTATGTCTGCAGACTTACAGCGATAAAATCCTGGTTTCGATACCCGTGGTGAGCAGAACACAGATAGCCCATTGTGTTGCTTTGTGCTTAACTTCAAGCAAACAAATCGACCCGAATAATTGGGTTGGGTTAGCGTGACAGGACAGTGAATTTGTGGTTCGCGTTTCGTAGCTGCAAATATGCGGTCAACACCTTATGGCTGTGAGAGTGACTGTCAAATCCTACTATTCGATCAGAGAAGTTAGTCCAAGAGCCGGCGGTGGGTACTACTGACTAGCTGCCTTCCTTCTAGTCTATCAGTTCAAACTTAGGAACGGCTATGTACAATTTATGTGATTTACGGAGAAATAGAAAAAAATTATTGAGTAATTACATATTAAGGCATTTTATTTGAACCACAGTTTTATTAAGTCTGGTAAAGGGCATCTAGTGGTAAGAAAAGCCTATCCATCTTAAAGGTACAGTATCAAATAACATATACAGGTCTAAAAAGCTGTCTGGTACAGCTTGACAAGCTGCCCAACACGCGAGAAAATTCTGACGATATAATTTAATCAATCACTTGTTGATATTATTAACATAATAAAACACATGTGTAGCAGTAAGTGTAGTACTTTTTTAACGTTGAAGTATTCTTCCTCTTTAAATAATGTTGTATGTCACGCATTAGTCAAGCAGGTTGCCCAATAGATTAGTGTTCTACCAAGCGAAAATATCTCTAACTATCAAACATTAATTAGTTCGTTACTTATTTTTGTATCCCAAATCAAAATTCTTCAAGGTGATAAGCTTTAGACGAAATACCTAAAACACATTACTTAATGAACTGGATTAGGTGTAGGTATATAACCAGCCTTACACCTAACGTCTGAACTGGATTAGGTATAGGTATATAACCAGCCTTACACCTAACATCTGAACTGGATTAGGTATAGATATATAACCAGCCTTACACCTAACGTCTGAAGACACGTGAAACTCCAAGTGGTGCACACATATATATGTGTATCGAGAACTAAAGCCGGGCTTATAAGAGCTTTAAAATACATGATACTGACTGTCTGAGCTCGTACTTTTCAGTGTTACAAACCTTAGAACTCTGTCCTTCAGTGTTTTATCAAGAATTCGTTTCTTTGTTGCAGAGCAAAGCCACATTGGGCTGGTTATCTGCTGTGTTCATCGCAGGGAATCGCTTCCTGAATTTTAGCGTTGTAAGTCCACAGACTTATCACTGTCCCATAGAGAGGAATATTCATGAAAAATACTTATTCACAGATCCATGAATTTGCAAAGTACCTATCAGAACGAAAATTCGCTATTTTGAGAAGACAGTTTTATTCATTTAAGTAGTAGCTTTTGTAGTGTATACTTTTGGAACTTTTGTTTTGATGTTAAATGTTTTAAACTCCGGGAAGATGTAACACTTTTTGCAAAGTAAATCGAATTAATACTACGTTTACTTCTTTTCAGCGTTATTTCATTCTGGGATAAAAACAACCCTAGTTCTTCAAAAAGCGATGGCTTATTCAAACCAAAAACTGCACCGCTTCAGAATTACGAGTTTTCCAACAAAAATCCTCCTCAAATCGAAAATCTATCACAAAAGAAAAATATTTTGGAAAGAGTTGTTCGAAACATAGATGTTGGTAAGATGTGATCGAATGATGATTTTTGTTTAAGTCAACTTTTAAAATAACACGTGGTTATACATTATCTGATGTAAGTTTCATAATAATTTTAGTTAATTAATTATTATTATCAATTTAAAGCATGCTTGCACGCGACATTCAAACGTAGCGTTTTGACACTATTTTTACCACTATTGTTATACATTAATTTGTATGATCGTTCGATCCAGTGGAGAGAATACTGTACGCTTTTTTTGAGATCATACTGTTACAGTCCCCCATCCAGACCAAATGAATAAATCAGATTAGCTTCAGTATCTAATGACAAAATGCTTAAAACAAGATTAAAAGTATACATGTGTCCACTTATTTAACAGAAAAATTTCGTTTCAAAATAATACAAAGTTACCTAACAGAGATTCTGAGTGTGAGCACAGCACAGATTGTCCATTGTGTAGTTTTGTGTTTAACAAAAAACAAACAAATACAAGAAGAAGATTCTTTGTAAAGAAATTAAATACTGAAGACAAAGCGATTCAAACAAGACATAAGGTGTTAGTGAAATACATCTAATTTTGAACGCTAATTATTTATAACTGTATAGGTATCAAGTAGATCAATAAATACAGTTCAATTAAATCTTAATCAACCAAATATGCACAAAAAAGACAGTTGGTCGTTATCAAGTATTTGTGCGAGATTCTGAAGTCTCGTTTCCAATTTTACTCTCTCTTTTTATCTGACGTTTCATTTCTGTTTGATTTTTTTCAAGTTGGCAAATGCGAGAAAAACTTGGAAGTAACTGACCTCGGAGGTGAATTAACTAGCCCTTACTACCCAGAAGTTTATCCCAGCAACCTCGACTGCTTCTGGCATCTTAGAGGAGAGAATGGTAAAAACATTGTCTTGGAGATTGTTTCTCTGGAAATTGAAGATGAAACTGAGTGTCTGTAAGTAATTTTTATTGTATTGAACTACATTTAATTGGTTAAGAATTCACATTAGATAAATAGACAAAGTATAATTCAATTTCGAAATGATTATGGTCAAGCAATACATGTCTTAATAGACAAGAGATCCAGGGGTTCCAGTATTTCCAAAGCCACGAAAGCATTGAAAATTTACATTACACTTATTAAGAGACAGTTTAGGGACTTCAACAATGAACAATCATTTACTGGTTATGAGGACAACAAGTGATCTGTTGTTCAAAATCACCAGTTCAATAATTGTATTGTTTGTTTTTGTTTTTGAATTTCGCGCAAAGCTACACGAGGGCTATCTGCGCTAGCCGTTCCTAATTTAGCAGTGTAAGACTAGAGGGAAAGCAGCTAGTCATCACCACTCACCGCCAACTCTTGGGCTACTCTTTTACCAACGAGTAGTGGGATTGACCGTCACATCATAACGCTGAAAGGGCGAGCATGTTTGGTGTGACAGGGATTCGAACCCGCGACCCTCACATTGCGAGTCGAGTGCCTTAACCACCTGGCCATGCCGGGCCAATATAATTGTATATATGTGTTAAAGATTTATTTTCTTTTTTCACCAGATTAAATCACAAAGTAGTAAAAACACTAAACTGCTCAGAGCTGCTGAAAAACACTAAAAAACTTGCAGAAGTTCCGTAAAAATCCTTAAAATAGTGTACTAAGTAGCATTCTTAATACTGAAGGATAAAGATCGTTAAAAAGTAAAAAAGTAGCATATAGAGCACCTTATCTCCTACGCATATAAAAGTGACATGCTTTTTGTTTGTTTGTTTTTAAACGCAATGTGCTATATGTGCTCTGCCCGCCACGGGTATCGAAACCCAATTTTTAACATTATAAGCCCTCAGACTTACCGCTAAGCCATGGGTGGAAAAGAGTAATATGAAATCGCATAAAACATTTGTTATAAACAGAATATGTTTATGATGATATGCGAATGTTTTATAGATTAATAGAAATTGTACAACTCAGAAAAGTTAAATTATTTTAAACCCGTACACAGAATATAGTACAGAAAGATAAAGTTATATAACGCACGAATGGTGTTGATAAAAGTACTCCTTAAACTACCAATCCTATTAACAACTAAGCAACGTAGGTTCTCTATATCCTCTTTTTTTATGTCTGTGGTTACACGCTGGTCGCCAGAACTTCAGTGCTCGTAGATCTATCCAAATATAAGTTATCTAATTTTTACACATTCATCACATGATGCTCCCTCAGGCGGTAGGAAAGTGAACATTATCATTTTTTAAGAGGTTTTTTGTTTGAATTTAAGAACAAAGCTACGGGTATCTGTGTTCTGCCCACCACGAGTATCGAAACCCGGTTTCTTGCGCTGTAAGTCCACAGACATACCGCTGTGCCACTGGGGGTCTTTTAAGAGGTACAGATGCTTAAAATATTTTATCGTTAAAGTCAAATTCCACGGAGTTATGGGTTTTTCAATATCAATTATCGATTAAATAAGCACCATAGCGGACAGAACCTATACTTTTTTTTATCACTGATGTATGTTTGTCATAAATTTTGTGTACAAATATAACGGATTTTGTTGTATTTTTTCACAGTAGTATGTTTCCGATAAAGTTGAAATATAAAGTTTCCCAGTACTGAAATATGAGTTTTATATTTATTGGGTATTAGTAACAAAAATAACGATTTTTATTTTAGTATTATGTACATATGACAGGACTTTGCACAAATATTGAAAATTTGACATTTTAACTTTACACAAACTATTTAGCTATATTCGCCAGTGACAATATGTTATTCTATTTATCTGGTGAGAATTTGAAGTTAACAGTGACAACTTTAGACTTCTTCAGCATCTCCCTTTTAAAGAAAGTATATTAAAAGAATTCACAAGAGAAGGAAATAAGTGGCTAAAACTCAACTAAATGTATTTCTCTGGCTCTTCACTGAAATTCCAGTACACTGTATTTATGGGCACAGTACATATGTTATGCATAACAACAAAAAACACTATCGTGAAATAATTTAAAATGTTAGACATCACCACAAAATATTGACATTTTTACCAATTGAACCATGAAGAAACTACAACTATTCTGAGTTATTGGATCTGTTAAATGTTATAGAATCAAACACGACAGAGACACGAAACAACACAAGAAGTTATTTTAGTACAAGTTACAGCTTTTACAGTAACTTTGAATGCATAATATTCCTTACTGTAAAAGCTGTAACGTGTAACAAAATAATACTTATAATCGGTAAGTAAACCCAAAACGAAACTATTAATACATGAAGTCATACAAAAGGATCTGAATTCATGTAAGAAAACGTTTCTTCAGATAAATATATTCAACAATACCTAAATCTATAGAAAAACACATTTCTGAAAGAAAGATAGTTCTAATAATGTCCGTATTCTGAGAGCCAAACCTAAAAATGTCTGATTCCTTGTAACAATATACTATTTCAATAAGGAAAAAAACACACATTAATAATGCATAAACTAAAAAAAAAATAACTCAACAGTACTTATGCATTACTCCAAAAAGCCAGATCCAACATTGCCAAAGACCATTCAACAATAAATAACTAAAAAAAAAGAACCAAACAGCATTACTCGAGACCATGAAAAATACATTACTTTAAGAAAAAAAACATATCCAATAATACTAGAGTTTTGATAACAAAACAGTGCTTTATATAACTAGCTTAGGGAGTAGCAAACTGATCGTTTTGTCAGCAAAACGTGATTTAATTATCTTAAATATCTTTGCAATTGCGATACACAAAATTATGTTTTGTTTGAAATATTGTATTCATTTCATTAGTTTCATGGTCACAAAAGTGATACGCAGATTTATGTATGCATGTGAAATTTCATTATAAAATAAAAATTCAGCGAAATAAACCGTGTCTGAACATCAGAAAATATAGAACATAGAGGCCTGGTCTATATATATAATTTTTATTTGAAATATTGTATTCATTTCATTAGCTTCATGGTCACAAAAGTGATACGCAGATTTATGTATGCGTGTGAAATTTTATTATAAAATAAAAATTCAGCGAAATAAACCGTGTCTGAACATCAGAAAATATAGAACATAGAGGCCTGGTCTATTTCTGCTGAAGGACACGTGTACAGTTTTATATATAACAACAATAGTTGATATAAAAACAGATCGTTTCAACAGATAATTCAGAAAGCTTGTTTTCATCTTCTAGTTAGACTTAAAGTTTAGGATTTGATCATTATATCTATAGATTTAGTAATAAGCGTTGGAGAGCTGATGTTTAAATATTATTTCCTCTATTGCAATCATCATTAAGTTTATATAAAGTTTACAATAGAAAAATGAGGGCGTGATATTGAATATTTCTTTTGCTGTTTTTTTTTCGGTCTTAGTTATGATTACCTAGAAATCTATGCCGGGCCTAAAGTATCAAGTCCGAAAATTGGTCGATACTGTGGTGCACTTCAAAACGTTGTCATTGCAACCAATTCAAGCAAAGTTCTCATCCTTTTCCACTCAGACCCAAACTATGAAGTACAAGGGTTCAAGTTAATCTATCATTTGGAAAGCGTTGCAGGTAGACTTTTTATTATTATTGTGGTTCGGTTGCATTTCTTCATAATTAGTAGTAAACATATCTAGACCACTGATGTTATTACTGTTCTTAAGTTCAGTTTTGTATATTTATCTGTTTGTGTAGTGTGTGTATATATATATATATATATGTCAGTAATGTTTGGAAAGATACTCGTTATTTTGGTAACAAATCTCAAGATGATTTTGTACTTAAAATTTGACCGAAAACACTTGAATGAGAACAAGAAACTATATGTTTTTGTGGAATTCAGTGGGAAACTTTCGAATGTTATGTCTTTAAATTCAGTAAAATAATAAGTGTTCGCAAACTGTTATAGTTTGTTTGTTGTTAAGCACAAACCCACACAATGAGCTATTTGTACGGTGCCAACCACGGGTATCGAAACCCGATTTCTAACGTTATAAGTCTGCAAACATACAGCTATGCCACTGGAGGGCAACTGTTATAGAACTGATAGTGTTTTATAAGACTAGATGAAATAATGTCAGAACATTACATGGATTATTAAAATACATATAATAAAATTATCACATAGCTAATAAACTTTAAATTAGCTACACACCTGACCAAAGTTTCAATGAAAACTTTGATTGCACAGTTAGGATTCAGAAATGATTTGAGGAGAACGAGACGAGTTTTTGTCCCCCTACGTCGATAAATAACTGAAGTTAACTTCATAGCATCCTCCATTTTATTAGATGAGCATGCAAATGTAGCCGCTTTATCCATTACATAACAACAATCAACAAGGTATAAACAAGGGCTATAGTATAGACAAACAGTTAAAGGAAAATGCGGACCAAATACCTCCATTAGAAAGACCTTGAATGAAGTTGAATGCTTTACGAATGTTATACATCAGAGCAGATACAGAGATAACAAAACTTACACAAATAATGTATCATATCTCTTGGCTAGCCCTAAACTTCTGTTCTATAAGTAAGTAATTCAAATAGTGGCAGTACAAATGCCACTTGTATATAAATGTACTGAAGTCTATGTAAGTTCACTTAAACTCGACAAAAGTGAATTAGAATAACAAAAAAAAAATTAAATTGTACAATAATAAAAGAAAAATTGAAATTGTTAATATCCATAAATTGTTAGTTAGAGGCGGAAAGCAAATATAAAATCGACATCATCTCTACAAAATAAAATAATGGCTTAAAATGTAAATTATCAAGTTATTCAAATCTAAATCTATTCCAAATAGCAAATTTGAAAAAACATTACAAAAATGGAAGGACCATTATAACAGATGTTTTCATTGCTGCCACTTGTTTGCAAGTGATTGACGTAAATCATCGGCCTGATTCAAATAATATTGATAATAACTAAATAAATAAAAAGTAAATAAACAATAAGTGTTAAAATAGAATACAAAATAAATAATGTTGTACTATTAATTCGTACCTTATAAATAAGATCTGTAAATGACATGAATAAAAGTTGATAATAATTATAATTCACTTGTGTAATCTGATTACAGTTGTTGTTCGTGAAAATTGATAATATATGTCGTCTAGGCTAGCGGTTGGCAAACTTTGGTAACCTGAGAACCATTTTTAATTTAAAATTTTTGCGGACCCCCAAACCTGTCGCAAAGCTGTATTTCAAAATCAAATGTTTTAATTCACAAATTCTATTTTAAGAAAATATTTTTTTTACTTTATAAATCATATATTGTTTTAATATTTTTACGAAATTTTGGGCATGACTCTCGGAGTACTCTCGCGGACCCTAGTTTAGAAACACGAGTCTAGACCATTAAAGGGGAAAAGTCTATAATTAGGTTCGTATGTGTGTGTGTGTGTAGTTTCTTTGACAATAGAACGCTGGTTTCGTCCGTACTGGTTATAATAGATTCGATGCATTTGACATATTTTATTTTCTTTGACAATAGAACGCTAGTCTCGTCCTTACTGGATGTAGTAGATTTGATGCGTTTGACATATTTTAATTTCTTTGATAATATAACGCTGTTCACGTCCGTACTGGATGTAGTAGATTCAATGCGTTTGACATATTTTAACATTTTAAGGCCTGCGCATCCTTCTGAGGAAAATATGCCTCAAAATGATGCTCTTCAGTGATCCCTCCAGATCAGTTATTTTTCTTCCCATCCACTATCTTTAAGGAAACTTTCCAAATGGGGGAAATTGCCTTTCTGAACGTTAGCATGCCACAGTGAGATTTGCATTTTCATGGCTTCTGTTTTCCCAAGAAAATCAAAACCGTCACCTCCTTCCCTCTGAAGTGACAAGTTGAGCTGGTTCAAATGGTAGAAAATATGTATGACAGTTTGGCCAGCCAAAAATCGTCGTTGAAATCTATTGCTTTCACATAATTTTCTTCAGTAAAATATACACACAGCTCGTTTCTCAGATACAGCACTCTTTCAAGGTCTCTTCCGCGGAAGAGTCGTCGTACCTCAGAATCCAGAAGGAAAGTTTTGTAGTTAGCAGACATATCCTTGCACACTAAGAGTCGTCGTACCTCAGAATCCAGAAGGAAAGTTTTGTAGTTAGCAGACATATCCTTGCACACTAAGAGTCGTCGTACCTCAGAATCCAGAAGGAAAGTTTTGTAGTTAGCAGACATATCCTTGCACACTAAGAACAGCCGACATTTTTTGTTTTGCATGTGGGATAATAGTGTTGACAATTTTCACCGCGTCTTGCAACAGTTCTTGCAGCTCATTCTTCTGTTCATTGTGCTAAGTGTTCAGCTTCTTTGACTCCAATGTTTCACGGTGCAAAGAAGAGTGTAAAAATGTGCATTTGCGGGATTTTTCTTTGATGCGAGCGGTGACTCCTCTTTTTACTTCCCATCATGGCTGCAGCACCGTCTGTTGTCACAGCGACGCATTTGCTCCAAGGTATATTTGCACCTCTCATGTATTCGTCTTGCTTAGAGAAAATGGCTTCACCTGTTGCTTCAACTCCGACTGGCAAACAAAAGAGATAATGCTCTAGAAATATTTTTCAGCTTTTGGTTTGGTAGACGGCAATAGACAATGAGTTGTGCATCGTTCTTTACATCCGTTGATCCATCAAATTATAGAGCGAAAACTGATGCTTTCAACAGTGTTTCTATCTGCTGCTGCTTTAGATAGTAGGTCGGTTTTTCATTGTCGTTGGACAGAGGAATTTGCTCAAACTTATCGACTGCCGGTTTCCGCCATGTATGAGGTCGGCGACGATCTTCAAACACGAGTTTATCACGTTCTCAGCCTCTTTGTAAGGTTTTTTGCCTTCATGAGGACATGACATATTTGTAGAGACGCCAGAAGAAGTGGTTTTCCAGTGTCTTTCTTTACCATCGACTGGAAGGAATTTTGCTGCTTCCATAAATCCTCGTGGGTATAATCTAATTTAACAACGGCGTTCCGAAGATACTGAAAAGTTTAACGTTGACACAACCAATCTTCAGAACGCCGTTGCTAAATCAGATTACACCCATCTACTTAACAAGTTGCTCGAGGGTATTTTTGAAGAACTTTATAGACTTATTTTGATTAATGCTATGCTTTGTTCTTAAATGGGTCTGTAATTTTGAAGATGCAAGTCACTGGTTGCTATATTGGACACTGCAAAACATGCACTGTACTGAAGGAGCTGGACTGGTCAGCTCGTCTTTGGGAAGAAAGAAGTCATACTTGACATACTCTTCGCTCTATCTTCTTTTCTTGGATTTCGAGGAGAGGCTACTTCAATCTTTCCATTTTATCTTCAAAGCAGACTTTTCCTTGCCAGAATCATCATCCGAGTATCCAATGGTATCATGCCCAGCTTCAGCTTCAAGTCCTATGTCCTCAGTTTTATCGTTTTCCTTTACAAATGACTTATCTATTTCTGCACATACTTCCTCTTGAGCATTATGTGGTATTCTTGACATACTTCAGCAAAGACATATATATCGCAATACTGTTATCGGTCCTGGTTGTCAACCTATTGTCATAACGGATAATGTCTGTGATAATAGCATCCGAATGCGAGGAGATAATTTATTCGGGCATACAAAATTGTTATGTTTAACTACATTGTATGATATATATATAATTCTGTGTACTAATATTTTGTTTTGATAAAAATTTTATAAACAAGTAAAATTATAATATCAGTTTACCAAAATGGAATAAACAAAAAGAGATGTATAGGGAAGCAAAATTTTTAAGGGTAACAAAATTATTTTTAATTTTCTAAAAATAACGTAATTTTTAATCTAAATATACTAAAACAGTTATTTTCAACCCATACACACATACGCGCCGAGCACAAATTCTAATAATTCATTCTAGTTTTAGTCATTCACCCTTATTATTTCATTCACCCCTAAGATTCCATTCACCCTAAACAAATTTCATTTACCCCTGGGTAAACCATTCATTAGTTTAAGAAGCACTGCCTAAGTCTAGTGTATCTATATACTACTAAAACTCTGAAATTGTTTGTTTGCTTGTCTATAATTAGATACAACAAAAACGGCGCACAATATAATGAGAATAGAAACAGAATAAAACAAGTTTCGTTAAAATCGTGCCACGGGTTACCGAGTAAGCGCCGTTTTTCCGGTCATTTTTATGAAAATTTTTAGCATGAGTAATTTTACATCATACTACCGTTCGCGCTCTTTACGAAACTTCTTCGTTCAAATCTATTTCCCTTTCAATGTTCCTATCTTCATTAAAAGGCGTAAGATGACAAAAACAAGATCTTCAAGAATTTCTCAATAATGTGTCTTGTTTATGGTAGATAATTCGAAGAAAAAATAAAGTGTTACTGTTTCTTATTTGTAGAAGGTTTAAGAGGGAAGACCACAACATAATGAACTAATTCATCACAATACCTGAAAACTCTGACTTCACTTTTTTGAGAAATGAAATGGTCTTTCCTTTTACTCCCGATCAACAATCAAATATCTTTTCTTGAATTATGAATAACACGAATGGATTGAAATATTTAATTAAAGTATCTCAAAATAAACCTTAATTTCGGTGCAATATTGAATAGTGGGAGACCCAATGGGTCACGAGTGATCTAGTCATTTCTAAATTAGGGACGGCTAGTGCAAATAGTGGCTAGTGGCTTTGTACGAGATTCAACAAACAAACGAACAATAAATTCTTTATTTTTGACTTTCTTGTATAATTAATTTCCAAGAATTTGTTCAAAATGGTTTCACTTTTGACTTGTACACTGATTTGACGGATTATTCAAGTCATAGAATTTAGATGGTTTAATGAAAATATTATTGAATAGAATATTTGTCATTTTAGTTCATCATTAATTTTAGGAAGACTTTTGAAATATAAAAATACGTTAAAGCGACGCCATAAAAGACAGGGAAAGTAAGCGTAACGTGAATTAAACTACTGATAAAAGACAGGGAAAGTAAGCGTAACATGAATTAAACTACTGATAAAAGACAGGGAAAGTAAAAGTAACGTGAATTAAACTACTGATAAAAGACATGGAAAGTAAGCGTAACGTGAATTAAACTACTGATAAAAGACATGGAAAGTAAGCGTAACGTGAATTAAACTACTGATTGTCGGTTAATAAGACGTGGCACTAGTGTGAATCATTTCAACATCAGTCTTATTTACATGTTCGATGTGCAAAAACACACATATAGTGTTTCTGTAAAGTGTGCTTTTAAAAAAATTACGAACGTAAAAATATAAGTACAATTTTAAAGAAAAACAATTAAAAAATAATTAAAATATCCACCTCTTTTTATTTTATTACGATTGTTATAAATGTCAACTTCTAATTTAGTTGATTGATTTAATTACAAAAAGGAAAATGATTGATTGAATTTTACCGTCATGAAATAATTCTAACGCCGTAATTGGTACATTTATTTAAAAAAAATTTTCATTTGATCAATAATATATTTGAAACAATTAGTTATATGAAAAGGCAGTTTTCAATTCGATAAGATAAAGAGAACTCACAAGTATTTACTATTGAGAAACAATATTCGATAATTATTAATATATTAACCTAAAACATAAATACTGGATTTATGATTAACAGATTTTCATGTTGGATAATTGCGTATGTATGCATTTCTTAAAGACTGCCAGCCGACATTAACGGGTCCAGAAGGTGATATCACAAGTCCGTTGTATCCTAGCAACTATCCTGACAATATCGACTGTTGGACAAAAATAACTGTTCATAACGAGAAACAGATTATTCTCGAATTTGAAAAGATTTCTCTTGAAGTAGATAAAGATTGCAGCTATGACTTCATTGAGGTTTTTGATGGATCCGTTAAAGGTAAGTTCACCTGCATGTTGTTTTTCACAAACAGTGTCAGAAAAATAAAATAAAGAACACACTTGCAATTATAGCAATAAAGGATAATCTTTCGTTTTAACTTAGTCCGGTAATGTTCTGGTCAGTTCTAGTTTTGTCCGTAAAAAAAACCCAAAAAACAATCACTTTTATACTGGAGTGGCTTTTATGTCGAAAATCAAACCAGGTTGTTTCCTCCCACATTAAAGCAAGGAGAAATCGGGTGGAACAAGTTGTTGGGTATAGATAAAGAAAATACTCAAACACTGAATTAAAATTTTGCAGAAAAATATTGAAACTTTATTCACTGGGATCATTTTAATACAAGTTTGTCCATAGAAATACTGATTTGGACCTATTTTCTCTTTATATCGTCTCAGTAACAACACGTAAGTGTCAAAAAGTCTCTCTCGAATGTATAGAATTTCTCAAGTCAGGAATAAATTTAAAACTAAAACTTAAAACTATGCCTAAGATAGGCTTTACTATTAGAACAGTCACCTCTAAATCACTACGTTACAACAGTCAACGTTAGCGGTAACCCTATAATTATTCGTTGCTATAAAGTTCAAAGAGAAAACAGAACATTTTATTAAAAACTAAACCAAATTAATTAAATAACACTCTTCAGCAATACAGTGAAGAAGAAACAGAAAGTGGTCATAACCAGAGAATTAGCGAAGAAGGCTAGTTATCGCCAGAGCATAGTTAAAGAAATATCCTTATGTCAGTCTTCTCTAATATTTATTTATTCGTGCTCCTTAAGTGTTCAGTTTAGAACCTCTTTTGGACTTTCACCGACATCCTTCAGGCGATGTGTGGTTCCTCATCGTCCATAGTTGAATAATTCGCTCACTCTCTGAGTTAAAAACAACTTAAATTCCCTGACTAGATAAGAGTTGTTATTAAGTAACAACAGTTGTTGTCTGATGATAGATTAAACTTCAGGTAGGTTTTACGCTAAGAAAGAAACAGAAATATATTTTGTTGTTTTATAATGTAAGAAATACTAGTCACACACACTGGAAACAAAAACAAGCAAACAGAGGATTTCACAATTCTTTCGGCTAACGGAACTAACTTATTTCCTCACTTTTCTATAAAAATTGTTTCTTGTTGTTGTTAAGCACAACGCTACGTAATGGCCTATCTGTGCTCTGCCAACCAAGAGTATCGAAAATCGATTTTTTTAGCATTGTAAGTTTGTAGGCCTTCCGTTGAGCCACTAGGGGTGGGGGGCGTTCACGGACAAGAAACAATCAAAAAGCGAAAGTTATCCAGAAATAAAAAAGGGTAAACTCTAACAAAAATGTGTTTTTTCGCTACCTCCTGTTACTCATAACTTCAACATTTTGCCTTTTGTAATAAATGAAGTATTTGTGAAATGAACAATCGTTTTTGATTCCCCAGTTCTGTAATTCTGTAATTCGCCAAGTACAAACGGTTTCAAGTATTAATTATTTTAACTTTTAATTCTATAAAACATAGAAAATGAATAGTGACTAATCTGAATCATGCTTTTGAACTTATTTGTACCTTTCAGTCTCATTATTAATCTTATATTTCTAGATTTATAATGTAATTTTTCTCATGTCTTCTTTAACTAATATATATTACCATGCAGTTAGTTTATTTTTTCATTGTTTTTAAAAAGAGCCCCTGGTACTTCAGCAGTAAGTCTGATGGCTTATAACGCTAAAAATCTAGATTCGTTACCTGCGGTGAGCATTGCACAAGTAACCCATTGTGCATCTTTGTGTTTAGTAATTTAAATTACTACTATTACGAAAGCTGCCAGATGTTTTGTGAAACGTAAAAATATAGATTCGAAAAATACACAAAGATGTTATACCTTAAAACAAACAATTTTTCTCACATTAGATGAATTTCATTTTAACTGAATTTTTTCTGCATTTTAACGCACAAATTACATGGACACAGAAGATACGCTGCGAACCTTGTTGTTACAACAATATTGAGATTTGACGATTCTAGACATCAGGAATACAAAATAACCTTGACTGAGATTTTGTTCGTTACTAATTTGTTCATTGTGTTACAGATACGTTATACTGGCAAAATATTAGTTGTTACAATCCGCAATTCTGTTCAAACGTACAAAATATACAATTAAATAAAACACTCATAAAAGGTAATTTTTTCCCAAAGATCTAGAATAAAGTATCAAAAATGTGTAGGTTAATTTTACTTTATTGTTAACGCGTGATTTTGAATATTTGATTTACTTTGAAATACCCTGCTGTTTGTTGATAATTATTATTCATATTCCAATCTTCAGATGCACCACTGTTAGGCCGATTTTGCAAAAGAGAAGATCAGAAGACCTTGAGGTCCACCAACAACACTGTGCTGGTTCACTTCCACTCAGACGACTTATTGAATCACAGAGGATTTCAAGCTCATTATTCTACCAGTAATTATGTTTCTACTCCTGACCCTCAGGACCTGGGAGGTATGCAGTTTTTAGCAACAACAATAACCCGAGTGTGAACTTATATTGTGGTTACTGTATCTCAGTGTCTCATGTTGGTTAGTTTATTGTGGTTACTGTATCTCAGCTTCTCATGTTTGATAGTTTAGATTTTTAGGTACCCCATATACAGTTTGCCTAAAATGATTTATTTTAAAATAGTGGACAACAATGTAAGATTCTCGATTAAGTCATTTTTAACTTGTCACTTTTTCTTTCTTCATAATTATTTCATATCTTTTGTTTGTAATGTGTTTACTACTTTTACGTTACGGTATTGGTCAGTTTCACAACATATCCCTGAGTTTATTACTAAAAGACATAAAGTTTATAAAACTATTTCTCCTTTGGCATCACTGGGACTAAGAACATCATCCAGCAAAAAGCCAACACTAAAGGACCTGGGAAGAAAATGAGTTTTTCAATTCACAAGTTAAAAAATAATTCTTTACCTACAAATAAACACGAAGATATGAAACACCTACCAAAAAATGAAGTTGCGCAAAATGTCGAAATACGCAATCACAATATTACACTGCTTAAAGCATTAATACTGCAGAAAGAAAGAAACCTTTGGTGTATTTCTATATCACAGTACTCTGGAGCCATACTCTTGAATGGCTTGATTAATGTGATAAAAGGGTATATATCGACTTGAAGAACATCAGTACTGCCTCTTGTCGTGGCCTGGTGAATAGGTTCGCCAGACTTCTCTTGTCGTGGCCTGGTGAATAGGTTCGCCAGACTTCTCTTGTCGTGGCCTGGTGAATAGGTTCGCCAGAATCCTCTTGATGTGGCCTGGTGAATAGGTTCGCCAGACTTCTCTTGTCGTGGCCTGGTGAATAGGTTCGCTAGAGTCGCAATCTGCGGGTCGCGGGTTCGAATCCTAATACCAAACGTGCCCTCACTTTCAGCCGTGGGGAGCGGTATAATTTGATGGTCAGTCTCATTATTCGAATTATTAGGGACGGCCAACGCAAATAGGCCTCGAGCAACTTGCGCGAAATTCAAAAACAAACAGCCTTTCTTTGTAATTAACACATATATTTAAACTTTAGAGTTTTACGACATTGTATCAGATTTCTAGGGCTAGTATTTGCGATAAGAGATTGGTATCGTAAGATAAAGTATCAGATATTGTTATTTTCATCAAGAAATATATATACATGTATATATATATATATTGCCTTAAACTTTATTTCTCTAGCATGATTGTAAATAAAGTAAAATGTAGAATCATGAGATATAATACTACCTTTAACATTAAAATAAGGTGGGGAGTCTTTTTCCTTCGTTCAGCTACATCGCCTTTTTTTATGATCAGCGTTTAATGTTCGTGTACTAATAATATGTGACTTACAGGGACAGAAGCCACGCTATAATAAACTAAATGAAGTGGAGACGGCTTGTGTTTGCCTATTATTATTATTATTGCAGATTATAGGGAATCATCAAGTGAAAGGCCTATTATTATTGCAGATTATAGGGAATCATCAAGTGAAAGGCCTATTATTATTGCAGATTATAGGGAATCATCAAGTGAAAGGCCTATTATTATTGCAGATTATAAGGAATCATCATGTGAAAGGCCTATTATTACTGCAGATTATAGGGAATCATCAAGTGAAAGGCCTATTATTATTGCAGATTATAAGGAATCATCAAGTGAAAGGCCTATTATTATTGTAGATTATAGGGAATCATCAAGTGAAAGGCCTATTATTATTGCAGATTATAGGGAATCATCAAGTGAAAGGATAGTATTTGAGAAATTCAGACGAATAATCAAAGGATAAGATCTTAGCTTCGGAATACGAAGCAATCAGAGCTAGAATTTGCATCACTAGTGCTGTATAAAAATACTACGAGTATTGAAGAAAATAGAGGTTGGATTTTTTATTCAGATTTAAACCAATCGAAAATTTACTAGACAATTGATCTTTTGAGGATTTAATAAATCAATTACATTTTTAAGACATTCAAATTGAATAACTCTCTCACATTCCAGGTAGCTTAGTGATCCGTTAGGATGTTACATTTTGTTTTGAACATAGTAATAATCTAAAATTTGTTGCCTTCGAAGGAACGATGGATACTGTTTAAATTAAAATCTCATTTACTTATACCAGAACCTCTGAGTGCTGATATATACATATATTGTACAGTTCCATTGGATCAAAGAGTTTCACATAACAATACTGTGTTAAAGTAATGAAACAATTTATTCAACTATACCAACTTTAGAAAATCTCAATGATTGACTCTTACATTCTTCTTGAGGTTTTTGATGAACGATCACTTTTTGAAAGTTAATACTGTCGTATGTGAGGATTAAACATTTTATGAGTCACTAAAGAAACAAGGAATTGAATATCTTCATGACAATGATCTTTGAATGGTGTATTGATGTACACTTAGATTTGAAAATATATAAAGCAGGAAAACTTTTCGTGTATTAATAATAACTTATTGAGTCTCATATATTAAAAATATATCAAACTAGAATTGACTTGATTATATAAATCACAGATAGTTGCTCTGTGAGACTCGTTTCAAGTCTTTGTGAAAATATAAACCATGAAACTAGCTTTTAGCAAATATAATTTAATATCAATGCGTCTAGATCTGATTATAAGATTTGTCATTGTAATTCATGCAGAATGCACGTGGGAAAATCAACAATGGAACGGGACAATTTCAAGTCCAAATTTCCCTAAAAAGTACCCTAGCAATGCTCAGTGTCGTTTCATGATTGAAGCACCTCAAGACCATGTGGTCATTTTGAAGTTCAACAAACTGGAGTTGGAAAACGTGCCAAACTGCACATTCGATTATGTGGAACTACGGGATGGTCACCACAATGGTTTGTTTTTCTGAGTTTGTGTTTTGCATTACATTCCTAAAGTCACGATTACCTTTTATCTATAACACACGTGTTTTAGGTTTGAAACATGTTCTATAATCTAGTGTAATGTGGTATCAGTAGTTTGTTTTCACTTAATGAGGGATTACTTTTTTCAGTTAAGACCATATTCGAGCATATGTGTTATATGACAGAGAGTGACTTTAAGACTATAACTTCCATTAGACGTCAATTACTACCATATTTCGAATAAAATTAATAAAAAATACAGAAGACAACAATAATAATACAACAGTCAATACCATGTGTGTGAGTGCGTTTTATTGACAAAACAATGATGATGTTTCGTATTCTCTTAAGCGTTGGGATGTCGTAATATAAACTCAAATGACATAGCTTACAATGTGAACTTTCAACATTTGTAGAACTATATTCACTTTATCCTTATTAGAAGAACAGGCATGTTTTGATTAAACGATTTACATTTTTATGTATTAGATACTTGAAATATCTGCTTTCAGTGCCAACTTTGTCCAGGAGCCATAAGTTAGGTTTAAATATATAAATTAAATTAGCATACCATGCATAATAATAAATAAATAATTTTACTGTAGGAATATGTTTTAATATTCAGTTAAGGCCAGCCTCTCTACGTATAATTTTAACTGACCTGAATAGATAGAAAATAGCAGAAGCTCTGGTAACCCAAAGTGCAAAACATTAGCTCATCAAATATCCAAGAAATCCTCTCTTAGAAATCTGGTTTCGATACCCGTGGTGGGCAGAGCACAGATATCCAATTGTGTAGCTTTGTGCTTAAACTACAAACAAACGCCTCTCCATCATTATCAATTTAGAAAAACAAAACAAAAAAAAACAAGTATAATGCGCATTTAACTTCTCTCCCCCCGTTGGTCAGTGGTAAGTTTACGGATTTACCATGCTAAAACCTTGGGTTCGATTCCCCGCAGTGAAAAGAGCGCAGACATCCTATTGTGTGGCTTTGCGCTAAAAGGAAAAATAAGCAAACAACAACAACAAAAAAAAAACAGTCTACCGCTTATGAAACTGCATATATATTTTTTTTGTACTCGTATAAGAGCTCAAGTCCAACCGTATGCGGGAGGTAACACAATATTCAAGAGTCGAGTAGGTGGGATGTGAATGAAACGTCCTTCTGTAATTTTTTATTTGGCCAAGAACTTACGAGATCAACAACCCTATTTTCATATGTCATGTAAGTAACAATGTACTTTTAAAAGTTCAGAAAATAGCTATCTAGAATCTGGCGAACAGGGCTTAGTGTCAAGACCAACTTACCAAATACGATATCGCATACCACATTTCCTGCGTTATGACGTTTCAGTTATGCTACGCTTTATGATAATGTATTGACTTATAAATATTAAGTACTGGTTGGATTTAAGGGCTTACAGCTAGTATTTTATTGTAATCAGTAATCGAATTTATTCTGACGATGACCTACTCTTATGGGGGGTCGATACGTTGTTTACTTAACAGCAAAATATGTTCCTACTGTAAAGCTATTTATTTTTATTGATTGGCTTACTCAGTAGGATCCTAACTTTATAATTATTAAAATAAAATACGTTCACATTTTCTTGCTTGCAAATTCTCTAAAGGTCTATATTATTTGATTTTTATCAAATATATTTTCAATGTTTCAATTTAGACGTTGGTTAGAGAACGCATAATGTTAAGATCAAGTAAATTCATAAAAGTATTTCTAAAATACCTAAAAAGCTCAAGATGGCGATGACATCAAGAATATAGTAACGTCAACTAAGATCGAGACATGAGTACATCAGTATAAATACGAATAATGACTGAAGCGATGGATAAGAAGTTAGTGACGTATTCAGTGTGTGAATGCCGAGTATATATTGATCGAGTAAAGTCATTTAATAAAAGTTAGGTTTCTGTAAGCTAATCAGTAAGTTAGTCAGCGTATGTTAGCCCTCAAGCAAATTTATGTTGAACATTATTAATGTATTAGGCCTACGGGAGTTTCAGAGTTTATGTTAAAATAGTTTTTTAACTCAAGCCTACAACCTGCATTAATGTAAATAGAACCTGTAGCAATTGTTATTGAAGAAATAAATTAATTTATTATCGTTACGTTGACTCGAGTTCGAGTTACTTTCATTAAATAATTCAAAAGAACCTGTCTTAAGGACAAGAACACGTTGCAATAATATAGATCATTCAATTTCCTATCATATAAATCATCGTAACATTAAGTACAATATAAAATATGCTGCATGAGGAATAAAATGAGCAGAAACTGGATGCGAGGAATAAAATGAGTAGAAGCTGGATGTCATTCTTGTTTTGTAGGTACTTAATATGAAGAAATTAAGAAGGGAATAACGTTTCTTACAGTCTACGTTTACTTATAGACGTAACTTCTAATATAACGTTTAAATCAGAACTTCCGAAAACTAACGGACGCCTAATTTACAAATACAAACTTACTTACAGAATTTCAATCACAGATCATTAATTAACCCTCGCTGTCTAACTTTAACTGAACCACAGAACCTTAACCCTCGCTGTCTAACTTTAACTGAAACACAGAACCTTAACCCTCGCTGTCTAACTTTAACTGAATCACAGAGCACTAATCCCCACTGTCTAAATCTAACTGAACCACAGAGCACTAATCCTCACAGTCTAACTTTAACTGAATCACAGTACACTAATCCTCACAATCTAACTTTAACTGAATCACAGTACACTAACCCTCGCTGTCTAACTCTAACTGAATCACATAGCACTAATCCCCACTGTCTAACTAAATGAATCATAGACGCAATAACTCCCACTGTCTAATTTACACTGAACTAACACAACCATTTCTTACTAACCCACTGATATTTATATTGTGTCCTTGTTTATACATACTCTACGAAACATCTAGATTTTTTTTACATTCTAAAACAAACAAACAAAGTCATGACAATAAGGCAATGAAACTTCATGATCATTAATCAAATTATGACAGCACAAAACGCCTAACCTTGCCAAGCATAAAATCATTTAAGTGATGAACCTTCCCAGTCACTAAACAAGTCAACTGTAATTTTAAGACTACTTATAAATATTATTTGATCTTGGTTCTTCCGCTTTCGTGATCCTAAGAGTTTTGGTATTGTTCGATTGGCCACACGGTCAACTACGTGCGCAGACAGAGCGTATTTAAAACGGTATTTTTGCTGATCTTCTGGTTAGAAACTCATACTGAATATGCACGTGTGTGTTAAAAAATCACACGTTTTAAATACAGCACTAAGTACATCGTTATGTTACATTTTATTATGTGGCTTACACTTTGTTATACTGACCTTTACAAAGACGTTCCGAAGTATGTGTTTAAAGCACTCTTGCTTTAAATGTTTTATTTACAATACGAGCAACATTATTTTATCGTGTACAGATACGGTATCAAATATCGTTAAGCATGGAACACGTGGAATATATTTATTTTTTTCATTATGGAAGATTTACCTTCATCCGAGTATAATTTTCTGTTGTCGTTGTTTTAAGTTTCGGCATACTTTATTTAAGAAATGAAAATATTAATAAAAATGAAAATGATAGTGTTGGATTTCTTATGTTTTCAAGATGCGGATTTACTCGGAAGATACTGTGGTGACAGACAGGATGAAGAAGTCATGTCTTCCCAGGAGAAGATGTTGGTGGTTTTTAAAAGTGACGATTTTTCTGAGTTTTCTGGTTTTCAAGCAGAATATTGGTTTGACTTAGCAAAAGGTAATTTTCTTAACGTTATATAGTGCCACCCCCGTGGGAAAGTGGTAAGTCTACGGACTTACAACGCTACAATTTGGGGTTCGGTGGACGTAGCAGATGGCCTAACGTGGCTTTGCTCTAAAACAAACAAATGTTATTTAGTTGCTCCATTTTCAGTAACGTCTGCTTCTGTAAAACTTGGAAGTTATGGTATACCTTTAGAAGATCTGTGATATGTTTGTTGTGTTGACTATCACTCTTATATCGCATCCCTGGCCCCAAAGAACGATGAATTTTGGGATTCACAGTCTAGGCACTTTAATCATTAGACTACGACCAGCCCATCTATGACCTGAGTCAGTTAGCGTTTCCATTGTAATCGATCTAATATTTATCTAATTAATTAAAATCTACACTTTGATTAGAGAGAGTTAGAATCAACCCCGCTATTCGAGACAGAGTCCCAGTTGCGGCCGGTACTCTGCTGGCTGCGGTCCATCTGGCCAATAGTTCAAAATTAAGTACGGCCAAACTTGAACCCTAGGGGTCTTTAACCTGACCATTTAGCCCAAGTGTGAAAAGGGTACCGTTCAGGTTGAAGATTCGAGTTCCAATACATGATGTGAAAACAAAAGACCTATAGTAACTAGTAGCTATGTCGCTATAAAAGTCCTCAAGCGGGGCAACTTTAAGTTTACGAACTTAGAACACAAAAGTTCGATTCCCCTCGATGGACACAACAAATAGCCAAACTTGGATTTGTTCTAACAAAAAAAAATCGATATAAAAAGGTGCAGGTATTTTACAAAATGAAAATTAATAAATTGTTACTTTATGTTTCCATATGCTAAATTATATTTATATATATACATTCTAGATAACGCTACCGAAGTTCTAGTGAAGGAAAAAATAAAAGAAGTTGTCAACCAAGACAAGAACCTTGATATACCTTTCTCCAAAACGCCTGAAAATGCAAGTGTAGTTGAAAACGAATCTCATTTGCTACAGTGTGACTCGACTCACCCTGGTGCAAAAATCCGCTGGTGAGTTTTATTATTATTCAAATTAAAAATATATATATATATCGTTTATGCATAATATGTGTACTTAACATATACTTAATATTTTCACCAGAAAATTGGTTTAACAAATAAATGGCAGTAATGTAGACTTACTTGACTGTATACACGACAACTGTTTTTTGTAACGTACATGATATACTTGTTCTTAATACTTTGTTAACATGTTATGTTGTACTTAGGCTTGAATACATATTTATAACACTGGTCGAACTTTTTTCTTTCCTCAAAGATGTAAACACACTTTTCCAGACCAGTTTTGCACACTAATTCCAAATCTGTTTTCGGTTTTCTTCTTGCACATCTAGTTATTAAAATATGACTGGTGTTAATTTCAGCACAATTTAGGTAATAATCACACATTAGGCTAGTTAACGTTACAACTTTATTCATTTTTCAGTATAATTTCCATAAACGTTATACACACCATACACTTGGTTAAATTTATACATTACACACTTACGAAAAAGAAATGTACAATAACTTAAATTATAATTAAGGCAATAACCTTTCAAATTTGATCGGTCTCATCACGAAAACTTGACGTGCTAGAGAAAAACCAAAGACAGATTTGGAATCAGCGTTATAAGAGCTATCTAGCCCACCTAATTATATCAGATGAAATGACTTGTTGGCCAGTGTAATTATTTAAGTAAACTATACAAAATTTTAGAAATATATTACATCATAAGGATAGATAGCGTGAAGTTTACACAGCATATCCAAACCTTAGATGAAATATAATTTAATTAAATTTAATTTAAGCAAATGAATAAATAAACGAAAAATGTACCTGAAAAAAATGAAAACTAGGGCAAGTTACGTTTTGACTCACCCTATGATATGTGCCCTGATAGTGGATATTTGTTTTGTGGCTGCAACTATATTTTTTTCAAGTATATTTTTTATTTATTTACTTATTTATTCATCATTTCCCTTCTCTATAAAATTAAATTATATATATATAAAGCCACGTTATTTGATGTTTCCTTTTTTTGAAAATCACCAAACATGTTCGCCCTTTCAGCCGTGAATGCGTTAGAATGTGACGGTCAATCCCACTATTTGTTGATAAAAAGTAGCTTAAGAGCTGGAGTTGGGTGATGTTGACTAGCTGCCTTTCCTTTGTCTATCACTTCAAAGTTATGGAAGGATAACGCAGAAAACCTTCGAGTGGTTTTCGCCAAATTCAAGAAACAAACAATTTCTGACAAAAAAAAAAAAAGGACTAGAAAATACCTCTCATATTAAAAAACGTTCACCCACCATTCAGTAACATCAGTTTTAGGGTATTGTTACGCCTCCTGTCGTTACTTAATTTTCCGTAAATTCGTTCCCACTAAACTTTAGCGACACAAGTCCTTTCTTAAATAAAACTGGTTTATTCTTTCCGAATACAACTTTACGATGCACTTAATTTCAACAGTCGCGCTATAACAAACCTATAACAACGAACGTGCTCAACTTCAACAATACTCTCTGACTGCATTTCAATTACTCACTACCTACATATTGTCCCGTCACGTTGTGACCATCTTATATATACCAGACTACCCCCAATCTAGTAATCTCCCGAAGGTTCGAGAAAGAAGTGGCGTGATACTAGTCACGTGACCTCGCTGACGCAACAGTATGTTATAATGTACTTTACGGGCTAATGAAAAATAGTAAAGTAACTTTTAGAACTGTGGGGTATAAGTAACTACAATAATCATAGAAATCGAGTATGTTTATACAGAAACAAAATGTTAAATTATGAATTATAATTTCGAAAGTAAAGTGTAAAAGTATTGATAACTACATATTTAGGAGCTATTATCGAATTTCTAGCACTCGATTTCTTTATAAAATCTCAAAACAGTCTGGATATTTTAATCGTCGTAAAATACGACTATTGATGGGAATCGTAGACTGATTAATCCACTATTAGTGTCCAGCGAATGACTTGTTTAAGTCCTAGTTCAAACTGCTATTTCAGTGCAAAAAAATATATACATTAACAAGAGAGAATCCTCAATAGCCGCGGCACTTGAAATTTTTTTAGAGCAAATTAATCTACGATACTTTTGTTTCCCTTTTTATTAACTATATTTTTGTGCGCCAGCAATATCAAGCATGGGGCGCGCGTATGCTCGATTCGATTTTATTACTCATCAGGATCTCTACTAGCCTACCCTCAAATTGAAATTAGGATTAGAATAGATTAATCTATGGGACCTTGGGCGTGGTCAAATACATCAGTTAAAAGGGTTTGACCTCAGAGCCTTTCTATGAGCCGCTCAGCCGCGGCTAAAAAGAAGGGCAAAGAAATATTCATAAATGTTTCCTAAAATAGTTTATTACAATATGCGTCTACCTTATATTGCTAAATATTGGGACAAAATCCCTCCCCACACACACAACAAAAAGAAGTGGACTATGATGGACTGCTATTTAACTTAAAGTGAATAAAGACCAGCCAGAAACAGTCAGTTGGAGATACGACTGCCAGAAGAGAAAGAGCTCATATCCCTTTGAAGGGGATTATTGGATACAGTACTGGTGGTATGTCTTAAGTCATTTCAATGCACTTACTCTTGCCAAAATGCAATGTGGGTAATATGCTTTAAAAATAAAAGACCAGTTAACAAGCTAATGTTGAAGACTTGTTCAGACACCTGACATTAATCTATCCTTTGTCAGTACCAACTTGATGAAATGTGCTGTAAAATTAACTTTAAATCCTTTACTCAACGCCCACTGAGGCTTGAAGACTCCAGACCAACTCATCTTGTTGCATTTCACAGATAGGCCGCAGACCATTTTGACTTTCATCACAGGCATGAATATAAAACGTCGATTCTCTTGTTGTTTTGAACATCGAAGTTAGGGAGAAGTAGAATGGGAAAACAAACGTCACATGTAACGATGAGTCCCGCTACTCACTTCTGCTTCAGAACAGCCAAACATGGACACCAGTAGAATACTCATATGTGGGTCATCTACTTCACCAGATATGTACCAACAACTGTTGCCAAGTCTCAGTAACAGTACGTAGTCCCTATAAAAATAGGACCCTAGCAGCAAAACAAGACACCCTCCCTTTTCAAGACGTACTGGCCCATTTTTTTTTTTGTTAATATAAATATTTTGTTAATTCAATATTCCAAAAGTACCACATGATGTTGATAAACCTTTCTTTCCTAGGCTTAAAGGAGAAAAATTTCTAGGCGGTTCAGAACCACTTCCAGGACTAAAGATGATCTCCAGCAACTTATTATTCATTAAAAGTATGAATAAACAGCTGGAAGGTATCTACACCTGCACTGCTGTGCTACCAGATGGCGTCAATAGCGTCACAGCTTTTATTACAATGACACCTGTAGGAAAAAAAGAAGAATGTCCTATAGGTTGTTTTTTTTCTCATGTATAAAATGAAACTTTTTTTTCTTTATTTAATATAGCATATTTTTTTTTAGATATTACATAAATACGTTTTTCATATTATTAAAAATAATTTATATTATTCCCCATGATCAGAAAACAAAACTTATGGTGTATGCTCATTTCCAACGCCGATATTATTAATTGATTACCCTTTAAAACACTGACTTTTATTTTAAAGTTATTCCTCACTTAACCAGTCAGAAAGCTTATAAAACAAACCTATGTTCTGTTTTAAACTGACAGGTTTTTATCGCTTAAAATTGATATATAAAGTATCATACTATTATATTTAGTATTACGAGTATATTCAATTATAGTCTTAACGATGTGAATATATTGTTTTTATTTATCTTATTTCATCTCTAACTAGTTAAAATCTTTGAAATTTTGTCAGCAAAGATAAGCAAGAATTCTTATATAAAGTGACTGTGAAAGAATACCGTGAACCAGTCTGTGAAAACACTTTCTGAAACTTTTCCTTGTTTTTTGTTGTTTATATTGTACTTCTTATCTACTAATTTATCATACGTATTTGTAATAAGTATGTTACATCTACTTTATAGGACTCTAAATTGGAAATAGCCTATAATTTGATAGCTAATGGCAGGACCTTCCAAACAAAATTCTGTGTCGGTCCCTTCCAAGGTATTTAATTATAAGCCCTTTTCAACAGTTACGTCAGTTATATCAACATCTCACTTTGGTTAGCTCTACAGCTAACTACGTGCACAACTTTACTAATTCATTGTGCTATACATGTTGAATAAGTCCAAAAATTGGCATGTAATCACAAAACACCTCGAATCCACTCTACAATTTCATGAAAGCGTTGTCCATCACAATTAAAACAAAAAATCTGTTCTGAGTCGTTCATGTGAAGCAATGATTGGATCATCCTTAGATTCGCAACTAGCAAGACGCCTCTTTAGTCCGATACAAGTCTCCGGTAATTCTGGAGCGTTTCTTCCGTCCGATACAAGTCTCCGGTAATTCTGGAGCGTTTCTTTCGTCCGATACAAGTCTTCGGTAATTCTGGGGCGCTTCTTTCGTACAATACAAGTCTAACCGGTAATTCTGGGGGCGTTTCTTTCGTCCTGTACAAGTCTTCGGTAATTCTGGGGGCGTTTCTTTCGTCCATACAAGTCTTCGGTAATTCTGAAAAAGGAGTATAACATTTCTGCCGGTTCTTTAGCATATGTACGTCATCTCTAAAGCTATCGAAGAAGGGTTTGCCTTATGCCACTAGATCAGGGGTCACCAAACTACGGCCCGCGAGGTCAGTTCATCCGGCCCGCCGCTGCACTGTGCCACAAATGAG